GATTCCCCGTAACCTCCGCCCAGCAGGAGCACCCATGGCCGGGTTTGGTGGCTGGGCCTGGCCTTCGCCTGCTTGGCCAGACGAGGTGCTAGGAGATGAGCAGATGCTCTTCACCCGTAAGAGAGAAGCAGCGATATGTTTTATTGAGATAAGACAGGGATTTAACAGGGTTCGGTGGTAAATAAGACAGTGGTTTAACGAGATTCGATGGCAAGGTACACTCGGTTTTTTACTGCATGGAGGGCAGGGTCAGACGAGATCATCAAGGAGATCCTCCCATCAGGTCACGAGGTTCAGGGTGGCCCCCCTTGCTTCCCAAACTTCTCACAGGAGTCAGGATGTGGCTGGATCCAATCTTAGTCCCAGACTTGGTCAGCAGTATATGTCTAGAAGATTATGAGCACAACCCATCCGAGATGCCTCTTAGCAAAGTTTGCAAAGTTTCAGCACGCTGTTAGTCCCTTAGGGAGGATCTGTGGCGGGTAAGGAATCTCCTAACCTTGAGGAGTAACCTTGAGAGGCGTCCCTGCTCGTGGGGAGATCCTGGCATGCAGCCCGCTGCCGTGCAGGAGAGCTCAGCGGGCTCTCGGCTGCCGCCTGTTTATGGAGTAAGATGATTGTGCTGTTATCTGTCCGGATGCGGGCATCACAGCCGCTACTGGTGGTTCTTGCTGAGCAGGGTTATGGGTGGAAGGGCAGGTTGGGGTGGGGGGAAGCACACCGTCACGGTGGGATATCACAGCCTCCTGCAGAGGAGAGACTAAACCTGCTGGGCCTGTAGGCCACCACTAAGTGGAGGTTCACAACTGTATCGGGGGGTTAAAACCTGGATACGGTGCTCAGGGGAACCCTCACGGCTGTGGTAGGGGTTGCCACCAGGCCCAGCGTCCCTTACCTACATCTCTTGCAGGCAGTAGGGATGTTCCTGGGTGAGTTTTCCTGCCTGGGGGTGTTTTACCTGCTGGTGTGGAGGGACCGGCGCAGACCGGAGCCCACCATGGCCCCGTCGCAGCCCTTCAACCCGCTGCTCTTCCTGCCCCCCGCGCTGTGTGACATGACGGGGACCAGCATCATGTACGTGGGTAAGTGCTGCGGACGGGGAAGGGGACGGCCGCACCTGAGGCCCGTGGAGCAGGGGCGCGGGGCTGCGTCTTGGCACACGAGTCCTCCTCCTCACGGCCTGCTGACAGCTTTAAATAGCGAGTGAGCGCCGTGGACAGCCTCGTGGCCCCTTCCTCTGGTTAATCACCGATCTGCCCTTAATTACTGCAGCAGATCTTTAAGCAGAGGGACAGTGGCGTGAGCCCCTGCCCTGGCGCTGGGCTGCTGGCGGGCAGCTCCAGGAGCACGCGCGCGGCTCACGGGTCCCTTTTTCCGTGCGCAGCCCTGAACATGACCAGCGCCTCCAGCTTCCAGATGCTGCGAGGGTCCGTGATCATCTTCACCGGGCTCCTCTCCGTGGCCTTCCTGGGCCGGAAACTGGAGCTGAGCCAGTGGCTGGGTATCCTGATCACCATCGTGGGGCTGGTGGTGGTGGGGCTGGCTGACCTGCACAGCTCCCACGACCAGAAGCACAAGCTCAGCGAGGTGATAACCGGTACGTGAGGGCTGTCACGGCAGGAGCAGGGTGGTGGTGGGACGGTGGGGCTGAGACCGCCCCCGCAGCGCTGCGTGCCGAGCTCTGCCGGTGGCAGGAGAAGCGCTGCTCCGTGCCGGCCACGCTCCCCGTTCAGGACTACGAGGGCTCTGCGTTATCCTCTTCCCCCCAGGCGACTTGCTCATCATCATGGCGCAGGTGATCGTTGCCATCCAGATGGTGCTGGAGGAGAAATTCATCTACAAGCACGACGTGCACCCGCTGCGGGCTGTCGGCACCGAAGGTCTGCCGTGACCTCGGGGCGGTGGGACGGGCGCCAGGGCCGGGAGCTC